GCTGTTGCTGCTATTGTCACTGTTACTATTACTACTACTACTACTACTACTATTAACTGATAATGTAATAATAATAATGATAATATTATCATATTGTCATAACAATATCATAATTATAATAATAATATAAAAAAATAATAGTAATAATTATTATTAATAATTAAAATAATGAAACGTGTATGATGAAAAATATATATATTGAAATCAAGATTCATTATTTCAAGCTGGACTCTCCACTCACCAGCAGAGGAATCTTGGGGTCGATCTTCATCAAGGGAGGCGGTTCTCTCAGATGCCTCTCTGGGTCCCTGGGTGCTATGACCGGGTGCGGAATGGACTGTGGCACTGACTGGCACTGAGGAACATGCTTCGGTCCTGTCTTGTGGTGGATCGGTCGGAGAAGCTCCCTCCTCAGCTGTGAAGGAGGCATGCCCGGGTGTCTTGGGATGTGGGGTTCGGTGGCCGGTGAAGGTTCACTTGGCATCGAGTCAGCCACGCTCTGTTGGAGGAGGGGGTTTGGAGTGTGTGGGTGAGAATGCGACGGGAGGTTCGTCCTTGCATCAGGTGACCAGGTCGAAAAGGTTATTCCTTCACTTATCATCATGATTATTAAATTATGATACTTATTATTATGATATTATGATTTATTATGATACTTATTTTTATCATATAATATTATTATCATTATGATACTTTTATCATTATGATATTATATATTATGATACTTATTATATATTATGATACTTATTATTATTAACAATGATTATTATATTATGATACTTATTCCTTCACTGATTCCTGGGTAATGCTAAGAAGTGTAACAAGAATCTTTTATGAATTAGCTCTAATAAATACGTATATTGCATAATCAAGCAATGTTGAATATTGCTTACTGTTATAAGTATTTTACCATTGCTTAGCTTTTTACAGATTCATAATACTTCATATAATACTGATAGGAATTCAGTGTTTTACTTTCTCACAGTAATGCAATTTCACACAAATTAGCGCAGTAAACTAAGGCACAGAACTTACCTGCTCGATTTCTTTATTAACTTCTTTGTATTTTTCGGGATTGGGACTCTCTTCGCAGGGATTTGGCTCCTCGGCTATTTTGAGAGTGAAGGAATCGCTTTCGTCGTCTTTAGCATCTTCAAAGTCTTCAGATAAACTCAGTGAAGCATTTTCGTAATCGTCTGCCAGCGAATCTTCGGGTTCATTCTTAATCGGATTTTCTTCAGATGCAACCTGTGAGAATTTTTTTTTTATTACTATTATGTCACAATTTTTTAATATGTCATCTTGTCAAATGAGAGGCATCCTTAATCTGATATATCTAAATAATTTGGTGGTGTGAATGTTTGCACGTGTGTGTGAATATATTTTATGGTAACCATCTGGTATAGAAAATCCTGCTTTTTAAAATAACGACTGCATATCTCCATTTTGTTTTGTAATTGATAAAATTATAGGTCACAGATCTGAGAAAAATGCATAAAAGGAATCAAAAGGAAAGTGTTTTATTGCTTACCAAGTTTTGAAAAGTTCCATTTGTACTTGAAACATGGAAACTGTTGTACTGCAAAGAAGAGTATTCCGTGGACTCGTCCTTGGAAGAATCACAAACTTTTTTATTCATATGTTCAGCAGGCACATGTGGTCTCGGTAAGTGGTCACTCGAGGCGATGTTTCCGGGAATATATCCATTACTTAAAGTGGTTCCTGTGTCCTGAGCTCCATCAGATCTACAAGCATTCTCCTTTGTTAGATCATTTCTTCTCTCCAACTCACTCGAAGTATTTGGTCTAAATTTGGCATCAGAGCTCGATCTGAAGATGTTTTCGCCTGAAGGGGATTTCCGGGGACTGTGCTCTGAGATCCTGACTCTGTTGTGGTCACTTGCGCCAAGGGATTGCATCTGGTGTCCAGCGTCTCTCGGGTGGCTCGTCGGGATCTCATCTTTCTGTAAGTGTTGCATGTGCTCCATCTTGCGCGGGATTTTGACAGGCGCTTCGCTCTGATGTAAGTGGTGGACACGCTCAATTATCTGCGGACGTCTTTGGAAATCGTTGTCACTCTGCCTTGCGTAATCCATCTCGTGCGACTTCCTCTTCGAACTGATCTCCCCGGCTCTTCCCTGCTGAAACAGAGACCTTTCATCGTGCGAGAAGTTCTGAATCATCCTCTGAGAACTTGAGCTTAAGACCTCGGGGATGTAGGGCCTCGGCTGGACCTTGGGGAGAGGTGGGCGTGACCCACTGTCCCCGTGCTGGATCTCCTCCGCAGGGCCGTAATAGCTGTTGTAGCACACCCTCTCTGCTTGGTGCTCCTGGTGGCTTTCCGAGGTGGGCACGGCCAGGCCCTTCACGTGCAAGGACTCTGCAACCTTGATGAAAGTCGGCAGATCCTCCTCCAGGACGCGCACCTCCCCTCGATACATATAGACCAGTAGGCTTTCCAGCTGTTTTTGCCCCACGTCCTGCAGCACCACGACAGGGTTGTGGCATCTTGTACTCGCGAATATCGAGGCGAAGAATTCACTGCAGGCGGACAAGACCACTCTATGCACGGGGTATATCTGGCCGTCACACGCTATGGTTGCATCACAGTAAAGTTCCTGTTAAAAGAGAATGTGCTTTTAGAGCCAGATAATGGTAGAGTGTGGAAAGGAAAAGGAATGATAGAATTAACTGAAAAATGGGAAAGAAAGGGAATCAAAGAAAATGAATTGAAAGAAATATATATATATATATATATATATATATAATATATATATATATATATATATATATATATATATATACTGAAAAAAAAACAATATCACAGATAGAGGAAATTAATACTATGATAACTGTAAAAGAAGATTTAGTGGTTATAAAAAAAATCGTTTGTAATATCTTTTGGGTGTAAAATAAATATGCCTGCTTTATGCTTTAAAATATTATTGGAGTTTGTTTTTATCGAATATAAATACTCTATCACCCTTGTTTGTAGATGCATGTAAAAAAAAAAAACATTACCTAAAGTACAGGGTTTATAATAGATTGGAAACCACTTACATAGAGGTTCATATATATTTTCCATAAGGATAATATTTGTCCTAATAACACAGTAGTTGTAGTTGTGGAGTAGTAATAAGAGCAGTAGTAATAACAGTAGTAGTAATAGCAGCAGCAGTAGCAGGAGTGTAATAGTAGTAATAGGAGGTCGAGCAGTAGTTAGTAGTAGCAGTAGGAATAGTTGTATTGGTAGTAGTAGTAGTAGTAGCAGTAGTAGTAATAGCAGCAGCAGTAGCAGGATGTAATAGTAGTAATAGGAGGTCGAGCAGTAGTAGTAGTAGTAGCAGTAGGAATAGTTGTATTGGCAGTAGTAGTAGACGTAGTAGTAGTAGTAGTAGCAGTAGTAGTAATACTAGGAGTAGTAGTAGTGGGAGTAGTATTAGGAGCTTTAGGAGTATTCGAAGGACTAGTAGTAGTAGGAGGAGGATTAGGAGTAGGGGTGGGAACGAGGGAGAGAAATGAGGAGAAGCAGGAGGAGGAGGAGGAGGGGAAGGAGGAGAAGGAAGGAGGAGTAGGGGAGGGGGAGGGGAGGAGGAGGAGGAGGAGGAGGGGGAGGGGGAGGAGGAGGGGGAGGTGGAGGAGTAGAGGAGGGGAGGAGGAGGGGAGGGGAGGAGAAGGCGAGGGAGAAGAGGAGGAGGGGGAGGAGGAGGAGGAGGGGGGAGTAGGAGGAGGAAGGAGGAAAGGAGGCAGGGGGAGGGGGAGGAGTAGGAGGAGGAGGGAGGGGGGAGGAGTAGGAGGGGGAGGGGAGGAGGAGGAGGAGGAGGAGGAGGAGGGGAAGGGGAGAGGAGGAGGAGGGAGGAGTAGGAGGAGGGGAGGAGTAGGAGGAGGGGGAGAGTAGAGGAGGGGGGAGGAGAGGAGGAGTAGGAGGAGGGTGAGGAGGAGGAGGAGAGGGGGAGGGGATGAGTAGGAAGACGGGAAGGGGGAAGAGGAGGAGGGGAGGAGGAGGAGGGGGAGGAGGAGGAGGGGAGGAGGAGGAGGAGGGGGAGAGGAGGAGGAGGAGGAGGGGAGGAGGAGGATGAAAAGGAGGAGGAGGAGGAGGAGGAAAAGGGAGGAGGAGGAGGAGGAAAAGGAGGAGGAGGAAGAGGAGGAGGAGAAGAAGAAGAAAAAGAAGAAAAAAACAAGACGAAGAAGAAGAAGAAGTTCAACAGCAGAAGGAAATGGGGAAGGAAGAAGAAATATAGGAGAAATGAGAGGAATAGGAAGAAGAAGCGGAGGAGGAGAAGGAAAAAAATAATAGTGAGGAAAAATAATGATGATGATGATAATAAGGAAGACAAGGAGAGGGAGGAGGAGAAGAAGGAGAAGGAGGAGAAGGAGGAGGGAGAGGAAGAAGAAGAAGAAGAAGAGGAAGAAGAAGATTAAGATGAAGACGAAGAAGAAGACGAAGAAAATGAAACAAAGAAAAAGGATGATAATGATAATGATAATAATAATAATAATATCAATAACAACAACAACAAAAATATACCCAAATAATCATCCCTATTTCTCAGGTTGCCACTCATCTTTGTAAAAAAAAAAAAAAAAAAAAAAAAAAAAAAAAAAAAAAAAACAACTTGAACTCACCTGCACTCTGAACTGATCTAATTTGCTCACGAAGGTCATCGTATGATTGTTCCAACGGAGGTTCAGCCGATTTTGTTCCATCATGATTTGACTGCAAAAAAAAAGGGTCAAGTTTAGCCTTTATTATCGTACTAGATTTTAGCATACGGTTGGGAGAGTGAGAGATGAATGAGTGAGTGATGAGTGAGTGAATGAGTGGATGAGTGAGTGAGTGCTAAGTGTGTAGTGAATGAGTGAGTGAATGAGTGAGTCAGTGAATGGCTGTGTGTAAATGAATGAATGATGGATGGTGTGTGATAAGTGAGGATGAGTCAGTGAATGAGTGGCTAAGTGTGTAAACGAAATGAAGTGAGTGATGGTGAGTGAGTGAATAAG